GCCATGCTGTGCCGGATCAGTTGATTGTCGGCACAGCATGGCGGCCATGTTTATTTTAATGAAGCGGGGATTATTTAAATATCCGCTTCTTTGTCTATGCCGGGTAAACTAGTTTACATGGCTCCGTCAATGGAGCCATGTAGTCTAGACATACCCTTAGAGCTTTGCTGAGTTGAATGTGTTAGAAAGAGCTGATGTGAGTCAGATGTTACCTCATTTATTTACATAAGAAAGTCTCATTTCCTTAAACAGAGTAGAAACAGCAAGCCCTTTTCTCACTCAGAAGCAACCCAATATGAATCTCCATCAAGTTCTAAACACACAAAGCTATGCGTCTGTGCATCTCTTTAGGGCCATATTTGCAATAGCCTCTCTTGCTTTCTGCCGTCAGCCAATACCAAGCTACCATTAATATTCTAGAGCCTCTGTTTGTATCCAAGGATGCCTCACTGTACATACAACTTAGCTCTGACCATGTGGCCTAGTGCACTGGACAGTAATACCTATTATTGATTGCAAATAAAGGAGCTACTGAGCCTGAAAATAAGTGCACAGCACACCTGTTGGGTTTTAAAAAAAAATCTATATATCAAAGAGCTCCTTAATGGCAGCAATTAGTATCTATCCATATAACATTATCTAGGCGGTAGCACAATTTGAAGTTTGGAGAATTGTAAGTAGAGGTTCTGGAAAGTGACATTAGTTGCAGAGCCAAAGCTCTGTGAGGTCAACAAGAATCTTTTTATTTAATTCAATGAGCTGTGAATCAAGCCCATAAAGTACAGACCTCTGTAGTTGCAAGGTGCTAAAGTTGAAAGTTTGACTGGCCCTTTTGGCCTTGTCTTCACAATGAAGTGTCTAGTGTTTTGCTCAACCTGCTAACTTATATGAAAACTTCAGACTTCCTTATTCTCATGAGAACGTTAATTAGAACTATGAACACATCTTTTCTCACAGTAAAAATAAGGCCTTTGTGCGGAATTGGTGCAATATTCAGTGAGAGATACTCAATCTTCTCCCACCCAGGGACCAACTGACCATAATTGGCCCTTAACCATGTATCAAACAGAAGAGTTCCTTTGGTATTTAAAATTTTGTCAAGATAAAGTCCCATTAGCCATCTCCTCAAACTAGCTCATGCTTCACAATATTCCATTTTTAGTGTCATCTCATTTTCCTTGCAGAACCCACCTTTTCCAGGAAACCTGAATCTTGGCTGTGATACCCATGACCGAAAATCAGCTCTGCCACAAAGAACAGCTCTTGTTGCATCACACCGGGATTTTTATCAAAAGCCAAAGAGCCCTGTTGCTTATACTTCCACTGCAGATTGCAAAAACCTTCCAAGTGTGCCTAGTCCAGACAGAGAACAGGACCAGAGGGAAGAGATCATCCTCCCACTAACTGTGGAAGATAGTCTACATCAAACCATCAGTGATGAGTCAGAGAATGTTGTCAAAGAAATGGTGTATGGTGTAAATAATAAGCAGGAGATTAAAACTGGAAGAGGGCAATTGGAGAAAGAGGAAAGTTGCATTCAACAGGATACTCCATGCTTTCAGAATGATAATCAGGATGTGGGGGACATTAATACCCCTGAACTTGACTGTCATTTATACTGCAGTTCAATACCCAAAAGCACAGCTCCAGCTCATGCTCAAGATAATGGCACAACTCCTATTGACTTCACAGACAGTGGAGCCTGTGCCAAAAACGAAGAAAGTGAAGGTCCTTTAACTGAGGACGATAAAAGGAAAGTACTTAAGGAAAATATCCAGGAGGATATTACAGGAAGTGTAAAAGGAAAGAGATGTAATATGGAGTTTTTCAGTAAAGCTGACACGGTGGTTCCAGTCACCAAAGCCACAAGTGTTCAACAGTTTTTCAAACTGGACTTTGATATAAAATGTGTAAGTCATTCGTCTGAAGCAGAGACTCCAGCAACCCAATGGCAGGTCTTCCAAGTTGAAAATGAAAGCAAGGTTATTTCAAGCAGTTCTATACCAGCATCTAACCTTGCTGCTCACTGCTCAGAGGGCAGATCTGAATTTAGTTCCCAGGAAAGCACAGAGACTTGTTTAGATAAAATATCAGGAGACAAGAAGTTGGTGAAAGATGACTCTGTCCAAAACACTGAAATATACACCAATCCCTCTAAATCTGTTACTGTTCAGATGTCTTCAAGGCTGATGTCCACTGGGCAAAAAGTTTCATTGAGCGAGGGCCTTAGTAAAGACCCATTTTCAGAAATTAAATCCATAATGTCCCAGTGCTTTGAAGATGAACCTGTAATTACTTCAGAACTGGATACTTTGAAGGAAGGTCTAAGAGAGACAAGAGAAGCTTCCATTCAAACTGATACAATTGAAATGAAAACAAGAAATCGGTGGCCTGACCCACAACTTCTCCCTCCTTTCTATAGACATGGTCATCTCACAAAATCAGTCTCCCTAGACACTGGGCTTTATGGAAAATACAGATCATCCTACTGTGAAGTCTTTGGTGCCTGGTCTGCCCAGTGTGGTCATAGCTGTCATTGTTTCTGCTGCCATCATTGCTGCCACTGCTCAAACCCTGCTGCTATAGAGTTACAGCTTTTGAAAATGTTAGAGCTGCTCCAGGATACAGCACTGAGGACCATTACTCCAGTAAGTATATTTCTTGTTAAAATAATACATAAAATCTGGTTCATTGAGAGCCAACTCATGGAGTGCTGGTTATTTCAAGCTCTGTTCTTTGTTCTAGAATGTAAGGAATGTAGCTTAGGAAATGGAAGGGAAGAAGAGACAGTCTGTCCTGGACAAATTGGAGGAATGTCAGAAATACACTCTCATTCCAATTAAGTTATGTTAGACTACTTCTCTTAATATTGAGAATATTGACATGATAACTGCTAGATTAACAACTGATCAAGGTGAGCTGGAGCTGAGGTCAAATTCTTAGATGTGTCTGAGCTATTGTTTACTACTGTTTCCACTCTCTTCATTATACCAATGTGGGTTCCCTCAGGGTTTGTGTACTTACAAAATTGTATTGATTTAAATTATGCCAGCATACTGAAAGCGGTGCAACAACGCTCTCCCCAATATACAGTGCTTACAATTATACAACTTATACCAGTACAGTTGATTTCCCTGCCTTTTGGGGAATAAGGCACTCTTATACCAATATAACAATATCCACACTAAGAGCTGTTCTAGTATAACTATTTCAGTTTAAAAAAAATCACACCCCCACTGAAATAGTTTTACCAACACAAAACTGTGCAGATCAGGCTTTGGATGCTCTCAAACCCAGTCAGCCTTGCTTGAACTCACACCTGCCTACCAATATGTACATTTCACCCTCTTTATGCATCACTCTGAATTTAGCCATGTGAGTTTGTCTGCCTGAGTTGTTGTGACTTCCATACTGAAAGGGCCAGCACATAGAGTAAGTATCAGAGGAGTAGCCATGTTAGTCTGAATCTTCATAAACAACAAGAAGTCCTATGGCACCTTATAGACTAACAGATTTATTGAAGCATAAACTTTTGTGGGCAAAGACCAACTTTGTCAGATGCATGTCGACGAAGTGGGTCTTTTCCCCGAAAGCTTATGCTCCAATAAATCTGTTAGTCTATAAGGTGCCACAGGACATCCTATTGTTTACCCATAGAGTAAGTTGCATTTGTTCAGACTCATCTCACTTTGGCCCTGTAACTTTATTTTATCAGGACCCTTACTTGTGGCAAAAATCTAGTACTAGTAGAAATGACTGCAAATCTAAAAAAGAGGGAAAGACTTGTGGAAAAATTAGTTAAATGTATTTAGTGAAACAAGGTCAGTCAGTGTTTTGAAACCAAAGGGAAACTTTCTGGTTTGCTGTGAACTTATGCAGGTTAACCACTTTATGTTTGAAGATGCAGAATGCCCTCCTTTTGGTATTTATCCATGCTGCTCTAAATGGAATAAAGAAGGCTAAAATCACATATGACCCATCCTCTCACAAATAGATTCATTGATTTTAATAACATTAAAATGATTCTGTAGAGCCCTAATTTTCAGAAGGGCTGAGCAGCCAAGTGCTCATTATCTCTGAAAATCTGACTCAGGTGGATTAGAGAACATTTGCGAGTATGGCTATACTGCAATTAAACACCCATGGCTGACCCAGGTCAGCTGATTCACAGAGTCTCAGAGCCTGAGTCTGAACATCTATACACTTATTAATCAGCCACATAGCCCGAATCTCATGAGACCAAGTCAGCTGACATGGTCAGTTGCAGGTGTACATCTACCCGTCACCAACCTCAAGTGGTGCTGGCTATCAGAACCATGTGAAATGTCTGCCACAAGTCACCAGGTTTTGACTTTGTTACAAACTCAAAGTTCAGGATGCAGGGTCAGCTGGGGGGGGGGGGGGGGGGAGAGGAGAGAGGGGAAGGTGAATGGGTGAGAAGGAGCATGCCTGTAAGAGAGTTACCCTAAACTCATGGAACAATATGATGGTAGGCAACGGGGACAAACTGCAGAGGGAGTGGCATTACAAACTGGCACATGACAATGTTCAGGTTTGACCCAGCTGTGCCTTGTTAGCCATGACAGAAGGTGAAGATCAGCTGGGTGAAAACTTAGTGAGTGTTGCTGTGACCTGGTGCACAGGGGCACAGTGCCTCTGTGGCTAGAGCAGCCCCACCATGCAGTGTGCCAAATGCCAGGTCCTCACCTGCTGGCTATCAAAACCATGGCGGCTCTTTCAGCAGTGGGGACAGGTTGGGAAGCTGGATGGATCCATCATCTTAGGGCAAGATTCAGCAGCATGGAGAGGTAAAATTAAGAGGGAGGTCAGGGAGCCAGGGGCTGCTGGGAGGGGTTGGCAGGAAAACTCCCTTGAGGGCTGAGGCTCCTGCGAGAGGAGTGAATGCAGGTGCTCATGTGCCGGAGGATGAGGTGTCAGGTTTTTTAGAAGGACAGGGAGATGCCATTTCAATTTTTGCCCTCGACTCTCATAAACCGGCCTTACCAGGATTGTTGAAAAGTTCACAAAGCTTTTGAAGATAGCTGGCCTGATGGATGCTTCTGCATCCTGAGAAATGTGAGAGTCTCTCCAAGTTTTGTGTTAAAACTATTCCAACTTGGTGGTTTCAAATTAGTTTCTTCTTTCGTTGTTTGATATTGTTGAACCTGAAACTCAGACTTGGGTCATTGTAAACACCAGCGAGTCGGGAGGGAAGAAAATGATTGCATGAACCGCTGTGGTGTGAAACTGATTAATTTCATGTCACCATCTATATTAGTACTGTGGCGGCTTTTCTTTGCTCTTATTTGCTGGAGTGCACTGAATTTTCTGAGATGGTGCTCAATTGCCACAAGATGTCAGTGTTTCAGTGCATTACAGCTGATTTTTTAGTATTGTTCTATCACTTGCTCCTGTGATGGTGGTGAAAGATGAACAGTGATGCTTTTTCAGTAACCTGAGACAGCAGGCACATTATACTACTCAAACTCTGTTCTTTAAGCAAAGATGTGTTAAATCCAGCACCTGTCTGAGGTTAATGATATGAAAGCCAGACCCTGTATCACAGAAGGATCCAAACATAGTGAGAAAGCTGTGATTATGTGTGCTGAGTGTAAGGAAACACCATCCTAAGGGACAGCAAACATCCCTGTTTATGTAGAGTGGAACTCCATTGCCATCTAAACTGGGTGGCATTAAGCATGCTGGTGTGCAGTCAATGGATCTGCAATTCTATTGGCCTGAAATCTTGAGGAGTTGCAGGGAGCGCAGCAGCACACTGTATCTGTCGAAATGTCCTGTGTCTTAGACTTGTGGGTATGCGCCACTTCACTGCACAAGGACCCTGGCCAGTCAAGGTTGAAGATTCTGCTTCTCACTTCTTCACATGGAGCAAAACCTGTTAGTTAGGGAAGGAATTCCAGTCTGCCAAGAGATTTTAGCATCAAATATTTTCTAGAACAAGAGAAAATCTTGGAAATAATCACAATATATATTAACTGCAATGTTGTTCTTAACCGAAGTCAGTGTTAAAACACAGAAAGAGCAAACAGCCCTCAGATTATGTTGAATTAGCATATTTACATTTGATGCTTCCGGGCATGACATTGTCTTCTACAAGTAATTATTTCCTGAAAGAAACTATTTATTTCCATATCTTTTGGGAGACTCAGTTGCACTTCTTTGGAGACTCAGTTTCACTTCTTTGGAGACTCAGTTGCACATCTTTAACATCTTACACTCTGTTCATCACTCTGTTCATCACTGATGTATCTGAGTGATCTCAAGCAGTGAATTAGATGATACCACCAACATTCTTTTTCATTTTCTCTCTGTCTCTCTCCTTCCACCTTCTGAAGGAAAATAAAATGTTTTAACATATGACCAGCTATGTCTGTATATTTGCAAAGGCCAGGTAGAAGAAATACACTTTGGAATGGAAAGTTGTATGTTTTAAGGTTGTTTGCTGATCCCATGGGAGTTGGTTCTATAGCCTTGATCCAGCCCCTGGGTATGTCTAGACTACATGGCTCCATCGACGGAGCCATGTAGATTTGTTTGTTTGGCAAAGGGAAATGAAGCCGTGGTTTAAATAATCGCGGCTTCATTTAAATTTAAATGGCTGCCCCGCTCTGCCGATCAGCTATTTGTCAGCAGATCGGGGCAGTCTGGCCGCTCCCCTGTTGACATGAAAGCCCTTTATCGATCTCCCCGGTAAACCTCATCCTACAACCTGATCAGCTGTTTGTCGGCTCAGCGCGGCAGCCATTTAAATTTAAATGAAGCCACGATTATTTAAATCGCGGCTTCATTTCCCTCTTCTGATCAGCCTAATCTACATGGCTCCATCGAAATCTACATGGCTCTTAGACACACACCCTGAGAAACCTATATCTCATGTACATATAGACAAGCTTTACCTTGCAAGCAGACTGGTCCATAATGCCTTGATGTGCAGGAATCTCCAAAGCAGACCAGACCACTGATCTACTGATTATTTATTGAAATATATTTAAACTATTAATCTAGAATCCTGTTTCTATCTGAGGCCCATGCTAGAGTCTTAATTGAAAAGTGTAAACTCCCCACAGAAATAGTAGTCTCTGGGAAATTCCTTCCTGAACAGCTTATATTCACAATAAACATTAAACACTGCAGGCATTATTTCCAAATATTTGTTTGACTTTTTAAGGATATAAGCATAGAAATTGTCCTACTGGATAAAGCCAATTCATTTAGACCAATACCTTGTGCAAGAGAAAACCTAAAGTGAGAGATTATGCTCTAACTTGCCCATAGAAATTTCTGACTTCTGTCAGTAAGGGTATGTCTACACTAGCCCCCTAGTTCGAACTAGGGAGGCTAATGTAGGCATTCGAAGTTGCAAATGAAGCCTGGGATTTAAATATCCCGGGTTTTATTTGCATCTTCCCGTCTGGGCGCCATTTTTAAATCCTCTTAGTACGAACTAACTGCCCGGGGCTACACGCAGCAGTCAAACGTTAACTCGAACTAAGTCCTTAGTTAGAATTACACCTCATTCCACAAATGCCTACATTAGCCTCCTTAGTTCGAACTAGGGGGCTAGTGTAGACATACCCTTAGGCTATGTCTAGACTGCAGGCTTCTTTCGAAAGAGGCTCTTTCGAAAGCATCTTTCGAAAGAGCCTCTTTCGAAAGATCGCGTCTAGACTGCAGGCGGATCTTTCGAAAGAGAAATCCGCTTTTTCGAAAGAGAGCACCCAGCGAGTCTGGATGCTCTCTTTCGAAGACGGCCTCTTTACATTGAAGAACGCCTTCTTTCGAAAGAGGAACTTTCGAAAGAAGGCGTTCTTCCTCGTGAAATGAGGTTTACCGCCATCGAAAGAAAAGCCGCGTTCTTTCGAAATAATTTCGAAAGAACACGGCTTGAGTCTGGACGCAGGGGAAGTTTTTTCGGGAAAAGGCTACTTTTCCCGAAAAAACCCCTGAGTCTGGACACGGCCTTAGTGACTGACTTTTGCCATGAAGTAGGAAAGTTTTTACCCTATACAAAATGTGCTTTGCCTGTGTTTGTACATCCTGTCAAGCAATGTTACAGGCAGGAATGTTCACCAAAACATTGGCTTGTTAACAAATATTTCAAATACTGTGCAAAAATTGAATTCATACTGGAAATCTGATTCCAAGAATTATACTTATCCAGTCTGGGGGCAGAAATCTTGTGATTTACGTGCCCTGTCAAAAAATTTTAATTTCAAGTAATGAATACAAAATTCTCAAAGCAGTATTTGCAAAGGACAATTGACGAGCAATCTATAGGCTGAACTATAGTTGTATAACACCTGATTTGAATAGTTTTGAACAAATCTGTGGAAATTGTGATGTTTGCAGATTTTTTGCAAAGAGAGTCCTGAGCTATACCTGTTCTAGTTTGCCCAGCTCAAATCCCAAAAGAATTGTATAGTCTTTGCAATCTTATCCTAGCTAGTGCAATTGCAGTTGCTCATTTTATTTTCATCAATATCTAGTCCTCTTATTCAAATTTATTAATCACTTTGCCTTCACTAGTGATATAAAATTCAGCTAAATTTTAATGTTTACAAATGGTGAGTCAACAAAATGTGATGATGGTTCCAAAGGAACAGTGCTCAACCCATCTTTCAAATGAGAAACATGGAGCACATTTCTTCATTTGGTGATGCTGATGTCAATGTGAGGCAACTCTGTTCCATGCTAATGATTCACATAAGCTCACAATTTGACCCGTTGTGTCAAAACTATGGGCAAAATCCTGTCTCCCTTGAAGACAAGGGCAAAATTTCCATTGACTTCAAAGACTTGAGAGCTGATTACTGAATAAGATATTTATATTCCTCAGAAGTCATCTCAGTTGTTACCTGGGAGCTTATACCTATGAAAGTCTGACAAGCCGGCTCACAATGTTCCTGTTCTGTGGGTGAGATTAGGACTGCTGCCTCCTGGGCAGTCGGTCTGACAAAAATTAAAGGAAAAGTAATGAAACAGTCACTCTTCCTGTTCTTCTCTATAGTGCACAATCCATGAAATCGAAGTTATGAAGAGATCTTGCCAGAGTTTCCGAGAGAAGCTAGATGAGATTGAGCAGCATCTGGTAGAGCAACAGAATCTTTTTTCCAGTGCTATGTCAGATGAAGGAAGGTAATTACGTCACTACAAACACACAATGCCCATTAAAAAAGCAACATTTAGAACCAGCTATACCCTGGGTGTGTGTGCAGAGCTCCTTGCTGTATGTGCAAACACTCAGATTTAACATGTTTGTGGTATACACAGAAGTCAGCATCTAATTGTTCATCACTTTATTATTATCCATTTATCCAACCAATATGTTCTAGACTTGATCGTGTCATATCTAGACGATAATAAGGTGATAAGTAACAGTCCGCAAGGATTTGTAAAGAACAAAGCATGTCAAATCAACCTGATAGCTTTCTTTGATAGGATAACAAGCCTTTGTGGATAAGGGGGAACGTGATAAATGTGGTATACTTAGACTTTAGTAAAGCATTTGATACAGTTTTGCAAGACCTTCTCATTAATAAAGTAAGGTCTACTATAAGGTGGGTGAATATTTGGTTCAATAACCATTCCCACAGAGTAGTTATTAATGGTTCATGGTCATGCTGGAAGGGCATAACAAGTGGGATTCCGCAGGTGTCTGTTTTGGGACCGGTTCTGTTCAATATCTTCATCAATGATTGAGATAATGGCATAGAGAGTGCACTTATAAAGCTTGTGGATGATACCAAGCTGGGAGGGGTTGCACATGCTTTGGAGGATAAGATTATAATTCAGAATGATCTGGACAAACTGGAGAAATGGTCTGAGGTAAATAGGATGAAATTCAACAAGGATAAAAATGAAGTATTCAGGAAGAAAAAATTGGTTTCACCCATACAAAATGGGAAATGACTGTCAGGAAGAACTACATAAAGGGATATAGGGGACATAGTAGACCTCAAGCTAAATATGAGTCAACAGTGTGACAACATTACAAAAAATGCAAACATCATTTTGGTATGTATTAACAGGAGTGTTGTAAGCAGGACCCAGGAAGTAATTTTTCCACTCTACTTTGCGCTGATTACGCCTAAGCTAGAGTCTCGTGTCCAGTTATGGGCACCACATTTCAGGAAAGATGTGGCCAAACTGGAAAGGTTCAGAGAATAGCAACAAAAAATATTAAAAATCTAGAAAAACTGACCTATGAGGGAAGATTGAAAGAACTGCATGGCTACGTCTACACTGGCCCCTTTTCCGAAAGGGGCATGCTAATTTTAAACTTCGTAATAGGGAAATCCGCGGGGGATTTAAATATCCCCCGCGGGATTTAAATAAAGATGTCCGCCGCTTTTTTCCGGCTTGTAGAAAAGTAGGAATAAGATAGGGCTTTATTCCGGAAGATCGGGCCAGTCTAGACGCTCTTTTCCGGCTTTTCTACAAGCCGGAAAAAAGCGGCAGACATCTTTATTTAAATCCCGCGGGGGATATTTAAATCCCCCGCGGATTTCCCTATTACGAAGTTTAAAATTAGCATGCCCCTTTCGGAAAAGGGGCCAGTGTAGACGTAGCCATGCAGTTCTTTCAATCTTCCCTCATAGGTCAGTTTTTCTAGATTTTTAATTCTAGAAAAGAGGAAAGTGAGAGGGTACATAACGGTTTTCAAATACCTAAGAGGTTGTTGCAATGAGGAAGGAGAAAACTTATTCTCTTTAACCTTTGATATAGAACAAGTAACAATGGGCTTAAATTGCAGCAAGGGAAGTTTAGGTTGGACATTAGGAAAAACTTTCTAACTGTCAGGGTGGTTAAGCACTAGAATAAATTGCCTAGGGAGATTGTGGAATCTTCATCTTTGGAGATTTTTAAGAGCAGATTAAACAAATGTCTGTTAGGGATGGTCTAGATGGGGTCTGGACTTGATGACTTTGTGACGTCCTTCCGGTTCTATAATTCTATGTCAAAGTATGTTATAAGACAATGAGGAACATCCTAGGCTAGTGAGTGGCTCTCCTTCATCTCAGTGGGCTTAAAAACTGTTGTAACCAAGGCTGTGTCTAGACTACAAAGAAAAGCCAGAAAAAAACCACGGAAATTGTGAACTGCAATTTGCATATCTTTTTCCGCTTTTCTTCCGAAAGAGGCTTTTCTGATATTTGGCCCATGTACACTGGGCCAAATGTTGGGGAAAAAAACCCTCTTTCAGAACATCAGGTTTATAGGGATGTTGAAAAAAATGCGTCTGCTTTTCCAAAATGTTTTATATTCTTTACATATGTGTCACTTTTTTGTAGTACCAATAAGGAAAAACTACATGGGTGAAAATCAGCAGACTCTGGCAACCCTGTGCATGTGCAACAACAAATAAAATGTTTTATAGGTTATACACAGAACCCCAGTGGGCAGCATGTGCCCACCATTGCTACAAACAGTTTCTGTTGCATTAAAGTTTTGTGTACATAAGGGATTTATAATATGTATCAACAAATATACACTGTCTCTGATACTTCTCTGATTCAGTGACTGAGATTCTTCATGAGTATGATGTCCCCAGTTATGAAGGTGCTATCACATATTGTGCCCACCCAGGAAATGAAAAGGAATTTTAGTATCCACAGATCAGTGTGATGGGTCTTCTAGAGGTAATGGAATAGTCCTGTAACCACATGAAATTTTTGCAGATATACAACTGTTCGATAGTCCCCATGCTTATCAGTTAATTGGGTAGTTGTCTACACAATGATATCTCTAACTTCTGACTGAATTTTTTCATGTGCAGTTCCTTGGCATTGGAGGGTAGTCTGGGCAAAGTTGGCAATTAGTCAAACAAGGTATTTTTGACTGGAAAGCATTTATTCATTGTTTAGAATTGGTGGGGGAGATATCTTGGAGGGGGGTTGTTTTGTTTTTGTAATGTCATAACTCATAATGGTTGGTTGTTTAGTTGGGTTGTCTGCAGTTGGGTTGAACAAATGCCAGGGATTTCTTTTGAATGACAGACACACAAATTCACAGCCTGTACAATGAAAGACAGTAAAGGAACGACATGGCTCTGGTACTGCTGGGTTATTCATTAGGCTGTAGAATGCTCTGTGGTGTGTATGAAACAGCAGAGTATGAGTAGCATGAAGGAGAAATGAATGTTTTGCCAATCGCCACTATTCACATGACTGTTTTTCTGCTACAGAGAGGAAAAAAGACAACTGCAGGTCTTGCGTCAAGCTGTTCGTCGTGAAGTTTCTGAACTGGAATATCAGCTGAATGATCGATCTCGCCAGGTTAGGGAGGGAATTCTAATGGTACGTTGTGCTATTCTTCTGAAACACTGGGAAAAGGAATCTAGTTTAAAGACACTTTATACTGTTGCCTTTTACTGATGCAATGTCATAGTGAGTAGTGCATGTCTATGTGGCTTCCACATAATTTTCTGAGTTGAACACGTGACCAAACCAACAAAGTTTGTGTCATCTGATTTGGCCTGTGGCCTTGAGTTTCAAAAAGGGACTAGGTATACTGGATACTTCCATTTTTGGGTGCCCAGCCTGTGACTCCTCAACCGGCTTTGCTTTCAGAAAATGCAGAGGCTCCACCTTTTGAAAATCAGCCCCTTCAAGATGCTTCAAACCCCAAAGCACTCAAAAGTCATGATTCACTAGTCATACTGGCCATGCAACTACAATTTTCAACATCGAAAAAATGTTAAACCCAACAAATATTGTATTAATAAATTGCTGTCAGATGCAGAACAGAAATTTTCTCTTTGGAAAGAGGGGACTTCATATTTTGTCAGATCTACAACTGATCACCAATTTCTTGACATATTTGATTTTACAACCAAAAAATGTCATCGCCTTTCCTCCAGACCATTCACTATGGTTTTAGAATTGCTGCATCACTTGCAGCCATGTAAGCATGTGCTCAAAGCAACCATTTCTGTATGAACATCACAAGGCACGTTTTCAATTAATGAAAGCTGATTAGAGACTGCAAAAAAATGAACATGTGTGGTAGGTGCAGTGAGGATTAATTTGGCATTGTTGCACATTGTCTGCAGTTAATATGAAAGAAATAAAACAGCCATGAGCAGTCAGTAATGAAACAGTTGATGTACAGAGAGAATGTTGCACGGCTATGAAGCCACTGAAAGCTCTTGTTTGGGCAGTAAATAGAGGCAGCATGAGATTAAAACCCACACAAGATTTAAGCACTCCTCAATTATTTGAAGGGTGTCCCCATTAAGCATAATTCTCAGCCCAATTAAGCAGTTGCTGCTATAAAGCATTTTACCAACCCAGCTCCCTTTCTCTGTGCTGGACACAGGTACAGGTTGGTATCCTAAGGCAGCCTGTCTGCACCTGTTTCTCTTCAGGTGGGGCATCAACCTGCTTTGCTTAGATGGACCTGGAAGCCCCTGAAACAAAAACACCCAATTGCACACAGGGTCCTGAGACCATTTAATTAGGCCAGGAGATGGGTACAGACCCATGGGCTGAAACGGGATGAGGGACTGAGGGGAACTGAAAACAGTGAAATAATAGCACCATTCCACTTCTGCAAGTACCCAAGACCTTGACCCCATCCCCATGCCCTAAAGCCTTCCACTCCTGCCAGGGGTGACAATAAATCTGGGATGCACTAGCCTGAAAAAGTGGTTGCTCAGTCTAGGGCTCTGGCCTGGTGGGATTTGTTGGTCCATGACTACTCAGCCTTCCCCTGCCTACAGGACTCATGTGACCCTATGTCCCCAGTGTACACCACTAGTCTCAATCCAGCCATCTCTGACAGTCCTGTCCCTGGACTCGCTTTCACTTGCATCTAGGGAAATACTTTCCTTCTTCCTTCCACAGAATCCCTTCTCCCGCAACTCCCTCCACTGGCATGGAACCCTCCAGCTTCTTGACTCCCATGACTTAGCTGTTCACATTTGAGTGCCAGCTGCTGGCTTATGACATTACCTTAACTCGACTTTTGGCACTGTCCACACAGTAGGAAGTCAAAGGGAAAATATTCTCCCTTCGACTTCCCTTACTCCTCGTGGAGGCAGGACTACTGGCAGCGGCCAGAGTGCCCCCCTCAGTTCAAATTAGCGTGTCTTCACTAGACCCACTAATTCAAGCCCTGGAAGTTCGACAGCTGCCACTTCAATCTTCTCTGTAGGGTACACATACCCACAGGGACTTATTCCAGGCTCCCGCATAGCTGTAGAGGATTATTTATTGTGCTATTGCCGTGTTTGTTGTTTTCCCCGTGTACAGGAGCCCTAAGACAGAACTCAAATGGGGCTTCCTTCTCCCCTGTCTTAGATCTCCATTTGGTGCAGAGCAGGGAGATGGTCACCAGAGTTCTATTCTGCCTACAATTGCTCTGCCTGGGTTAAGTGTTACTTACAGTAGCTGAGGCAGAATAGCTGAACTGACAAAACAGTGCCCTGCTCCTGTCCCAACATCCCCACTGGCTTTCTCCTCCACAACAGGAGCTCTCCAGTACTCATTTCCAGATTGAATTCATTCACTGTGCAGTGCCTGCGTGAGACACAATGCATGGAACACAATGATGAATCCAAGTCGGCACATTTTTAGAGGACACCCGTTTCAATCCAGGACTCCTGCAGGCATCCACAGAGGTCTGTCTGGGTGTACTAAGGCAAAAACTAAACTACTTTCTCAAACTTTTTTACTGATGACCTCTTTCACATACAAAGCCTTTCACATTAAAACCCCTGTTTATATATTTAACATCATTATAAATGTGGGAGACAAAGCAGGTTTGGGGTAGAGGTTGACAGCTTGCAATCCCCCACCCCAAGTATTAACCCTGTGATGCCCCAAAGAAGTTCCACTCCCCAGTTTGAGAACTCCTCTACTAAGGCAAACATGTCAGTTGTTTACACTTAAATGGGATTGAAATTTGTTACTGAAATCCTTTTCACAGCAGCATCTCAGCTGCCAAATTATACTTCTCTTCTTTTGACCAATACTAAGAATGGGAATGCTTCATAACCTCTCATGTGTATCACTGCCTGATACCTTTTATCATTTTTTATTACTACAATATGCATGTCTTCCCTATTTTCTCTGCAGCAGCTGGACCAATTACTAGGAGAACAATCCCATCTGTTTTCAGAACTTGGACTCCCTGATTGCAGGGAAGAGAGAACTGCCCAGAATAAGCAAGTTGTTCCAGATACAGCTGACACTATGAATTCTAGAGCTGGGAGCTCAAAAATAGTATTTCCAAGGGTTCTGAGGAGAAGTGAAATGCTCCCATCAACTCCATCAGCTTCAATGGACAGAACACCTGAGATGCAATTTCTTGCTATAGCAACAGCAGAGCCAGATCTACGGGAACTCCTCACTGGTAAAAAAGAAATAAAAGGACCTCCCCAGCCAAAAATTGACTTTAAGGCTTTTCTACAAAGTGTAAGAATTCATTTTATTCTGCTTGCATGTGTATTTTTATGTCAGAACATGCTGACATCAGATTACTACAGGTTGGACCTCTCTGGTCCGGCACCCTCAGAACCTGACTGGTCCTAAACGAGGGAATTAGCCAGACCAGGGGAGGTGCTCTGCTACCAGCTCCCCTCCCTACTGCTGGCCCGAGCTGCCCCACTGCTGGGCTGCCGTGCTGCTGCAGCCCCGGCATCCTGGACTTCCGCAGCTCCGATCCTGCTATTGGAGCTGCTGCGGCAGCCACATCCCCAGCCCCAACCCCACTACTGGGGCTGCTATGGCTGCCACGGCCCTGGTCCTGCTACTGGGACTGCCACGGCTGCTGTGGCCCCATCCTGCCTCCGCTACCAGGGCTGTCACATCTCCAGGCCCACTACTGGGGCTGCCGCGGCTGCCGCATCCCTGGCCCTAGCCCCATTACTGGGGCTACCACAGCTGCTGCGGTCCCAGCCCTGCTACTGGGGCTGCCATAGCTCCAGCTGTACTACTGGGGCTCCAGTCCCAGCCCCTGCTGGACCATGGATGTTGCCGGACAAGGGAGTTTTTGGAGGTTCAGCCTGTATTGTATTTTTTACAGTAGTAGATAGAGTCCCAATCAAGGCTTGGGCCCCTTTGTGCTAGATGTTGTATATACCCCTACCAAGCTGTAGTCTTTATTTTAAATAACTTACAAACTAAAGAGACTGGGGGAAAGGGTGGGGTAGCATTCTCAAAGTTAATAGCAGTAGTTGCTCATGGTAATAAATTCAGTTTTACTATGTGGCTGGTTCGTATCAGCAGTGCCTTGCCAGTCTAGAACTCAGTGTGTGATTGATTGAGATCTATGCCAACCTGTGTGAAATTTGCAGGTATCATTTACCTGCAAAACAACTTGAAGTATTTTACATGGACAGCAAAGGTACGTGAATGTAGAGTTTCACTGTTTTTGTGTAACAGTGAAAATGATTAATCTTTTCATGACCAATAGTGTTTTACTATCAATAAGAAAGTGTTTTTCTTTTTCACTAAGCCTTTGTATCTTGAACAATAAAGAGAAACTAGAAAGCGATCTAGATAAAAAAAGTCAGATGGATAATCATCAGAGTTTTTCACTTTTCCACTTAAGAGTGTTTAACCAAATCTTCAGGGCTGGACCTCCTCTTAAGAGAACAACTAGAGCCAAATTCTGCACTACCTTCATGTATGCCTCATTGAAGTCAGTAGTTTCATTCTCTCGCACAAGTTTTACACATAGGAGTTACCCTGATGTATAGTGGTAAAGCAGACTCACAGGATCATTTCCAAGAATGAAGTCCCTGGCTTACATACCCAAACAGGCATTTAATATATTTTTCTTTTTGCCAGCTCAAGAAATATTTCCGAAACTCTTTCAGTAATGACACAGAGGAATGACAAGATTGATGGAAGACAGACAACTTCTGGACTTTATAGTTGTGACTTCTCCTTACAACAAACATTCTAAACCAGCTGAAGCATTTCAGAAACAGAAGGAAGCAGCTGCTATTTGCCATTGGGTGTTAAATATATTTTTGCAGTGCGAGGGCTGCCCTGGAGAGCAAGCCATTTTAAGGGATCATCTAGATCAGTGTTTCTCAACCAGTGGTATGAGTACCTGTAGAGGTACTTGAGAGAAGTCTGGGGGGTACCACAACACAACTGAAATTTGAAGAAAACTGAATTTTTGTTTTAACTTTTATAGAGCTTTATTATTTTTGTCCTTTTTACACCCAAAAATTTCCTTGCCCACCCAGCTACGATTAAGTTGTTTAAACAAATGTGTTGCAATGGTAGAAAAACATTTTGTGTGTCTGAAAACTGTAGGTATTGGGGGTACTTTATAAAAAAAAAGGTTGAGAAACAGTGATCTAAATGATGGTGTCATATATTATGCTGTTCTGAGGTCATAGAATTTGCTACAGGCCTTTTGCCCTTCATTTGGCACAGTATTACACTACAGCTTGTAAAATGTCACATTAAAAAACAGTTGAGCCCTCACAGTTGTGAAGAAAATGTTGGAAACGTGAACCAAGTCAACTGATGCTGCAGAGTCTTCCTGCACCCAGCTTGAAAAAATAGCTCAGAAAGGTATTAACTGTATCATGGCTCATCATTTTAACTGAAGGATGCAGTGAAATTAAAAAATCCAGCTAATATTAATCCTCAACCACAATCTACCTCCCACACTTTCTCTAACCAGCCACTAAAACCTCCATCTTCTCGCTGACAAATTCTATGATGGATATATCTATTGTCATCATAGAAATCAGCAGCACAATGACAACGTGTGGAGAGCATACATTATCGAGTCAACGGAGTACCAAACTATATAACACAGGGAATATTGTACAGATTGTATTAGTCATTTTCATATTTAATTCATAGAAACCTAATTTTAAAATATGATAAATGAAACCACTGAAAAAGTCTTTCAGAACCCAAGAAGGCTGTAGGATCCAGGCTCTTTGCCTCAGCCTTCTGGTTCATTTTGCTGTGGATAACATAGGGTTTTCATCTAGATAGAAAATCTATTAACTTTGAAAGCATGCATAACCCGAACACCATCCCAGGCACCCTGGTTCTGCCAGTTGGGTATGGGATGGCAATATACAAACTGGTCTATAGTCGAGACCAGGTATTTTGTATGACTGTTTTTTACCGTAATGCTTTACATCTACAAAGACTTGCAGATGTCTAACCATTTGTTTAATGCAGTGAAGGTGTTTTGTGTGTCATTTAGTCTTTGAAGTACAAGTGAAGACATGAGGTGCGCACAGATAAGATTATGTGCTGAATGGTGGTAACGATCCATTCCTATCTGCTTACAGTCTGGAAGTTAGCAAGCAAATGGGCCAAGACTGTGTCTAAAAGGTCATTTAAACAAAAGCCACAACAAGCTAATCAGGTGGTTAGCCAAGCATTCCTGATGTAGGGTGAAATTCATCCCTTGCAGAGTGCTATCGTAGGCCCTGTGTATCCCTTACACCCTATTTGAAGGTGTGAGTCTTTAAAAGGTGTTTGAGACATGCAGTCCTCTGAATGGGAGTGAATTTAAGTAGCCAGTTAGTAGGTAGGCTTAACCTATCACAGCAAGAGCCTTTAAAATGCTTGTGTGTGCACCTCTCATTCATCACTTGCTACTTTGCACTTACATGTACAACCTTGTTAAGGTGAGGAATATGACCTGTTTGGGGCAGGACATGCCTTTTTTTTTTAAGCTGCAGTCTGGCAAAGGGGGCATTGTCCAATTTGCTTTTGCCAACTTCATCAGCTGGCAAAAGAAACAGGACAAATTTCCACTTTGATCAAAAAAGTGGGATGTGGTGCAGAGCAATGCAGAAGAAGAGGGGGAAGTGGTAATGCCAGCACAGTGCAGGAGAGACGGCAGAGGCTGTGTGGGGGTGGGAAGGGCAGGCAGGGCCCTGGGGTGACGCGAGCCCAGTCTCACATGAGGAGGAGGATGTGGCAGCCAGGGTTCATGGGAGCTCATGCAGGGGAGGGATGGAACCAGGGCTCGGGTGCGCTAGTCCCCCTAGACTTGCCTGGAAGAGGCAGAAAGTCAGGGTTCAAAGTGAGCAGTAACCCCAGCCTCACAGCAGAGGGGGCAAGCAGAGTTCAAGTGAAGCATGGTCCCAGCCCTCTCTAGAGAGGACAGCGCCGGGGGTGGGGCTGGGGTGAGGAGTGACCCTTGCTTCGTGGGGGAGGATGGCGGGAGCAGGCATAATGTGGGCAATCTCAGCCTGATTCAGGGGAGGGATGGAAATGGTTCAGAGAAGCAATGACCTCCAGCCTTGATTGGGGAAGGTGAAAGGACTTGGGCTACCAGTCTTGCAGTGGGGGAGGGTGGCATGAAGGGCTTGGGCAATCCATCGACCCAGCCTTGTGTGGTAGCAGGGAGCAGGCTGGGCTCAGCAGACAGAGTCAGTTTTTGACCAGCACACCCAGCTGAAAAGGGACATTTTTAATTGCCCAGTCAGCGGTGCTGATTGAAACTGCCAGTTGAGTTGGTGTGAAGATGGCAGGTTCTCTACCTAGCTCCATGTAGCTCCTGAAAGCAGCATCATGTCCCTTGGCTCCTAAGCAGCGTGACGGTCACAGGGGCTCCACACGCTGCTCCCACCCTAAGCACCAACTCCGCAGCTCCCATTGGTCAGGAACCATAGGTCAATGGGAGTTTTGGAAGGGGTGCCTCTGGGAAGCTGCTCGAGGTGAGCAGCACCCATAGGCCATACCCAACAGTGTCCCAGTCCTCAGCCCTTAAACCCCCTCCCGCACCCAAAATCCCTCCAGGAGCCCAACCTTCCTCATGCTCCACAACCCCCTGCCTCAGCTCAAACCCTCTCCCACACTCAGAACCTCTCAGCCTGGCCTCTCCCGCTGCACCCTAAACCCCTCATCCCTGGCCCTACCCCAAAGCTTCCACCCCCTCAACCCTCAACTCCTGCCTACTTCCTGAACCCCTCATTTCCTGCCCCACCCTGTAGCCTGCACTTCCAGGACAGACCGTCTACTTCCTCCCACACTCCAACCTCAGCCCAGAGCCCCCTCTCACACACCAAATCCCCTCAACCCCAGATGGGCGCTGCCTCCTGCACCCCAACCTGCTCATCCCTTGCTCCACCCCAGGGCCTGCATCCCACAACCTAGAGCCCCTTTCCCCATCTCACATCCAACCCTCAGCTAGGAGCCCCCTTCTGAGCCCCTTGGTCTCACCGCCCACACCAGCTAGGCGCCCCCTCTTGCATGTAAACCCTTCAGCCCCAGTCCAGTGAAAAATGAGTGAGAGTGGTGGAGAGTGCGTGACAGAGGGAGGGAAGGGAGTAAGGGGGGGGTGCAAAGAGAAGGAGTGGGGCAGGGCAGGGAGCATGTCAAACATGTTTAGTTTTGTGCAGTTAGAAGTATGGCAACCCCACTGGGTGAGCGGTGAACCCAGCCTTGCACGGGGTGAGGGTGAGGGGGGGCTCAAGCTCAACCTCACATGGGCTACATCTAGACTACATGGCTCTGTCGACGGAGCCATGTAAAATAGTTTATTCCGTATAGTCAAAGATGCGGGGATTTAAATAATCCCCGTGTCATTAAAATAAAAATGGCTACTGCGCTGTGCCGACAATCAGCTGATCCGGCACAGCACAGCAATCTAGACACGGCGCGGTCGACAAGGAAAGTCTTTGTCGACCTCTCCGGTATGCCTTGTGAAATGAGGTTGACCGGAGCGGTTGACAAAGGCTTCCCTTGGTGATTTTTATTTTAACGAAGTGGGGATTATTTAAATCGCTGCGTCTTTGACTATGCCAAATAAACTATTTTACATGGCTCCATTGATGGAGCCATGTAGTCTAGACGTAGCCATGGTGAGGGGCAAGAATGGTGTGGGAGCAGCAACCCTGAGTGTTGAGGGCGGCGCTGCAGGCAAAGCTCAGCCAAGCAGTGACTACAGCCATGCACAGGAGGCAGAGCAGGCAAAACTCAGATGAACACAGACCCCAGGGAAGTAGGAAGTAGGGTTTGGGTGATCAGAAACCCCCCCAGCCTCACACAGGGGAGGAGGCAGAAAGAAGGGTGTGGGCGAGCAGTGCCACAACCTTGTGTGCGTAGCGAGGTTCATGGAAGGTAGGCAGTTCTTGGGTGAGCAGTGATTCTAATCTCATGTGGTGAGAGATGAGCAGGTAGTGGAGGAGGCAGGGCTTGGGTAAACAGCAATTCCAACCCTGAGGGGCAGGCGGAGGGAGGGGCAACCCCACACTGGATAAGGAGAGCTTGGACCCCCACACAGGTACCAGCCTCCACTCTCTCATATACCAGAGAGGATCAAACTCTTGTTAGTAGAACTCCTAACCAGCACCACCACCTCTGAACGGTCATGCTTGCCTTAGTGACACAAAACTCATAATGACTTCAGTAGGGGTTTTATGTGAATAAGGCAACACATTTTGTCTCACTGTGGCCCATATTTCCTCTGGGAAAAAATCTGATGCAAAGCCGTTTTTAAATAACAGACTCTACAGCACCTAGGCCAGAACACTTTGCTTACAAAAACTGTTGCTTGAATGTAAATGTTTTCTGAAAATTTAAGAGGTAGGTGCAGCCATCTGTCTCTGTAACAGGAAAGATAAAATAGATTTTATTGAGGAAACTAGCAATGGAAAATTGAAACTCTTCTGTTATCCATTCATGGTCAATACATGAAATTATTCACCTTTTTCAGTTACAACTCAAATGAGCACTTACATTGAATTAATCTAATTTTCAAAAGCTTCCTCCTCAAAGTTCAAAGTGGGCTCCTTTAATGTTTGTGAGCCTGTGACATCAACCCAGCAGTGCAACCTGGGATCAATGTGACCCTTAACTTAATCTAGGATCTCTCTCACAATGCCCTCCTGGTGAGAGGCAGCAAACTCCTCCAGGTGCTGTTACCACTCCATACAACCACATGTCAAACCCCACATGCTGCTAGATTGCATGACTTCTCCCAGAACCACTTATGAATCACACAGAGGAAGGCACCAGCTAAATCCCCTATCCCTCAGCCTTGTACCACCAGAATATGCCATCTTGTGCTGCTCAAGGTCCTTTCTTGAGTAATGCGAGTTTATTAATGCAGTTCTTGGGAGAGCAGTGATTCTAG